GATGGCGGGGCACCAAGAGTGGGACTCGCGAAGTGGCGTTGATATGACACTGTTCCGTTTCACGCATACAATGAGCCCGAGGCTTAGTGTCCACGAGCGCTCGAGTACTCGCAATTCTTTGAAGCCAACTGAATCGCGCATTGCCACTCTCCGATTTGGCTAACACTAACAGGATCCACCAGCTCTATTCTCTTTATTTCAAAAACACATCATTTGTACAGCCAAACCTACTTTACTACTTCGTAGAACTAGATCTAGATCTAGATCCTAGATTCTGCACTTTTTCGGTAGTTCCCATCCCGCAATTGTTATTCGCCTGTTTTGGCCCCAAGAGAAGGGGGGGTTCTAATAAAATTATGGTGGGGGGTTTCAGGGGGGCATGCCTCCCCCCTGAATTTTACCATAATTTGATGTTTAGCAGTTGTTAGCTTTGATCTTAGCTCGCCACGGATCAAACGTATAAATCTAGGATGTGTAGATCTAGAATCTAGAATCTAGGCTCAAATAAGGGGGGTGGGAACTACCGAAAAAGCGCTGAAGATTCTAGTCTCTAGATCTAGATTCTAAATCTCTGTTTTTTTCTTTAAGTTCAGTGAGAGTGAGAGGAAGAGAGAGAGGTCATTATATCTCTGTCTTGAATCTTGTTCCAAGCCTTAGTCTAAGTAAGTCAGTCTCTTGATCTAGCACTTGGACTATTCTAGTCTTATAGAACATAATCTCACTAGATCTAGATCTAGAATCTAGATTTCTAGATTTAGTCTAGATCTCTAGCAGGTGAAGTAATGTATTTTATAGTTGAACTTAGATCTTCATAATCTATGACTGTATCAGGTAAAGATTTGACTTAGTTACCTCAATATGATCCCATTTACTGTAATTGATGGTCGACATCTTTTGCAAGTAGTTGTTCGCACCACAAATGGCGAATCACTCACGTAATTTTAGCAAACAACTGCTTGCTTTCGGTTTATAACGTAAACTTCCCGGAAAAGAAAACTAGATCTTTCTACAGTTGACAATGCAGAAGGCAGATTTTTACAAGAGAAAATGTAGCTTCAGCACCAATCATTTAAGTTCGTAAGTGAGGTGGTATATTGAAATAATAGAAGATTAAATTCTGTAAGTTAGATCAAAATAGTAATGCACAAAAGGTTTTAGCTTCTTGATATCATGTATTTGGAATAAATGGATGAAGAGCAATTGTATTGTTCGGTAGAAAGTTGTGACAAGCTGGCAATATCTCCCAAACATTATGCTCGCCTTGTAAAAAGATGGCCTTCACAATGTTTTTCACAAAACAATAAATTTTCTACACACGCAGCAGAGCAGAGAGGCAGAGACACCGTTAGTTTTTTGTTGCCGTAACTGATTTAATAAATCTATCAGTTACTATTCAGTACATGTATTTTAAATATACATGTATAAAGCACTCATGTGTAATGTGTATAAATATGCCTATACATGTATTTCCCTCTCGTTTACAAATACAATGTATATACACACCTATACGTTCTTTATACTATCTCTGACCGTCTATATACACACACAAGCAAAAACTCTCTCTCTCTCTCTCTCTCTCTCTCTCTCTCTCTCTCTCTCTGTGTGTGTGTGTGTGTGTGTGTGTGTGTATGTCTCTCTCTCTCTCTGTGTCTCTCTCTGTCTCTCTCTGTCTCTCTCTCTCTCTCTCTCTCTCT